AGTTAGATAAGATATGAACATAGCCTAAACCTTGCCTAAATCTTTGCCCATGGCGGATCAAAAGTTGCAAAAAATTTGGAACATGAACTGGGCTGAAAAACAAGATGGAGAAGGATGAATGCTTTGATTTTTTTTTTTTTAATAAAATTGTGAGTGCTCTAATATGGAACATAAACGATATGGAGTTTGGAACTGTTTTTGTGGCTAGGTTGGTTTTTTGGCATATTTCTTTACTAAGTTTCAACAATGGTTGGGCTTTTTGTAGAGCTAGATATATTAAAAAAAAAAAAACACACTATCTGCTAAACAAAAGGAATGCCTTTCTCCGCCTAGGTGCTCCGAGTTGACTGCCTTTTCTCACCTTTCCCCTTTACTGTTGTTTTCTCTGATTCACGAGCCTAGGTGTGCTTTTTTAGAACACCAAATATAACAAAAGAGTCTACTTCACTAAAATAAACAAAAGGCGAGACTGTAGACTTAAGCCCAAACCGTGTTCCATCATCATCAATAGCCTTCTTTGTCTTGTACAAAAGCCAAGAAAGCAATGTGTGCCCATGGAAAATTCATACTCTCACACAGTATATTAATCTTACCAGTACTTGTAAAATGAGAGGTTAACATCATTATTATGAAATTATGTCCTTTTCTTTCTATATCCTCTATCTCCTCCCTCTCAAGTTCAGTCCTCGTTTGGTAGAATTTTGTGCTCACTTCAATTTTCAAGCCACTATAATTTCATACTTAATTGTCTTCTCTCACACGTAGTTCATCATATCTTGATGTCCTCCATCAAATGCTCCTATTGATTGTAGCTTTATGTTGATACTTTTTGTGTATACAATTTCTTTATTATCGTCTTTTACTGCTAATTATCAATTTAGCTTGAAGATATTATTGATTGTACTTACTGTTTCAGGGACATGATTCGAGCTATACGTGCTTGTAAAACTGCTGCAGAGGAGCGTGCTGTTGTGAGAAAAGAATGTGCTGCTATTCGTGCCGCAATTAGTGAAAATGACAAAGATTATAGGCATCGCAATCTTGCGAAGCTCATGTTCATTCACATGCTTGGCTACCCCACACATTTTGGTCAAATGGAATGCCTGAAGTTAATTGCATCTCCTGGATTCCCCGAGAAGAGAATTGGATATCTTGGCCTCATGTTACTACTTGATGAGAGACAAGAAGTTCTGATGTTAGTTACCAACTCAATAAAGCAGTATCCACTCTAAACTTAATTTTAGTTTTCTTTATATCGTGTTCTTGAAATAATTAATGTTTTTGTTACCCCCATTCACCTAGAGCAAAAGAAGCACTAAGTTAAAATAGAAAAGGATGAGGTTACTGATCCTAACTTGTCTATATAGTTAGCTTGCTTTTTTAATGTAAAAAATTGAAGTTCATATATTCATTTGAATGACTTAACTTGTGTAAAGAGATCTGAGTCAAACCAACCAATATATTGTTGGACTGGCTCTTTGTGCATTGGGGAATATCTGTTCTGCAGAAATGGCGCGCGATCTTGCACCGGAAGTTGAGCGATTACTTCAATTTAGGGATCCAAATATCAGGAAGAAAGTAAACATTCATAACATTGTTTGAATGCTTTTATAGAATTTTCTGATGTAACTAGTTAGAGTTCAGTTAATGCTTCATGTTTTGACATTTCTACAAGGTTATGCCATTCTGTTTTTGATTTTTGTTGTCAGCACATTAGAATCATAGTGTAACTGTTGCAAAATCACGATTCTTCACTATTGGACTAAATCACGGAGTACATTATTTTATTTGTAATTTTGATGACGAGAGTTTCATTGGTGCTTCAAGCTATTCTTTTCAGTACACATGATTTGTAACATTATGTCAACCTTTGCCTACTTTATTTGGGAGACTTTCAAATTAATATTCCCTTTAGGGAAATAAATGGCTATATAAAATATGGAACAGGAGGATTCACGCACTACCTAGATCTATTTCTGTATGCTTGTTATGACTCATTCTTTCTCCTTTATGAGTAACCTCTATGAAGCGCATTTCTTTTTTCTTTTTTGCAGTGATTTTTATGGTGCTGATTACTGATAAATACTACTAAATCTAGAAGATTGAAAAGGACTTCTATTTTGACCTCCCACTTTTATTGTTCTTAGGAAATCAGTTTCAGCTTTGACCTATTTTTCTTTGATGTTTTCTGTTCATAACAGAAATATCCATGTAAAGTTTGGGTTTTTAAAATGTCTAAAACATCAGTAATACATCTTTTTCTATAATTAGTCAATCTCATGTTCCTATTTATAAATGTTCCACTAGAGACCTGAAACTAATCTTGTCGACCATATTAATTCTACTCACTCTGTACTGTAGGCAGCATTGTGCTCTATAAGGATTATAAAGAAAGTTCCAGACCTGGCAGAAAACTTTATAAATCCTGCTGCTTCTTTATTGAAAGAAAAACACCATGGAGTCTTAATAACAGGCGTTCAGCTTTGTACAGATCTATGTAAAGTCAGCTCAGAGGCTCTTGAGTATTTCAGAAAGGTAAATTGACAATCACATTCTCAAATAAGTTTTCTAAATATATTTCTCAATACCAAAAGACAAAAATTAGTGCCTAACTTAACTGAGAAGACGATTTCTCTTAAGTGTGAATAAGATGAAGATAACTTCTTGTTTTTATCAAATGTATTAGTTGTGTAACTAAATCATTTGCTAGTGCTGTTCTATGGGTAAATCATAAATAGAGCTGAAAATATTATATGTTAAGAAGTAGCTATTCCCGATGCTATAGAGGTTCAATCAATTATCTGATTTCTGTGCTAGTCATGGGAAATAATGGTTCGTGGCTAACCAGGCTGTTCACATCTTTCCCATTTTCTGTAGCTTATATAGGCTTATCAATTGGAACTGGAAATATGGAATATCTTGCCCTGTCTTTAGCAAATGTACATAATCAAGATAACCATATGGTACTTCTAACCAAGCTTTCATGCAACTGTATTCCTTGCATTATTGATGGGTAGACCATTATTCTTTTTTCCTGGTTGGTTACATATCTTTATATATTTTTCTGTCAATCTATAAATCAGCAGGGCACACTTCCACATGAAGTGATAAAACTAAGATCAATGAATAACGTTGTCGCTTGATTAGACTAGATAAGTAAACGAATTAAGCTTTGTAGCTTTGCCAAAAAATTGATGTCTATGATGATTCTCTGGAGACTAAAACATCTAATTGCCTTGCTTTGATGTGTTAGAATTGGAAATAGGGTAGATCATGCTGAATAGAATTATGATTATCTTTGATATCCCACATTTTCTATTCCTCGGTGAAATTTATTAAGGAAACTGTCCATCTTTGTCCTCTGTATAACAGTTGGAAAGGGTTAATGCTGATGAACAACATTAGAACAATGCGAAAGGTGGTCCATAACCATTTCATTTGCTTGTTTCAAAAGGAAAAAACTCATCGCCAGAGAATTTAGTCATAGATCACCATCTGGTAACTTCTCAGAAAAAAATGCTCGTTATCCAGGAAACCGAGGAGATTACAGTTAACAAACCTCAGCACTACAGACCTGAGTTCATGTTGATTTCAACATATCTTGGTTTGGTGTCTACAATCTTTAAAAAGGTGTAAATGGGTACTAAGTCGTTTTTCCTTCACGAGGCGAGGTGTTTAAGGTATAAGCCTCACATTAAACCCAAAAAATGTCAAAAAGTTATTTAGAATGCAAAGTGAGCCCGATAATACATTGTAAAATTTTTCAAAACTCATAATAGAGCAATTTAAAGCAGCAAACAAATAAAAAGAAAATCTATAAAGAAGCTATTATTTTAATTGATGGGGACAATGGACTAATCCCAAAGTAGATCTATGAGAAACACAATTTTTTAATATTTTAGTGGCAGCTCAAAATGGGTCAATTATGTTTTGTGGGCACAAGCCTTGAGGTGTATGCCTCAAAAAATTGCCTCACAGCTTCTTGAGTCATTTTCTGCAGGCCTCACTCTAAGGCCGGACTTAAGGTGGATATCAATTGGGTTTTTTAAACCATCGGTCTCCACTGTTGGATCTAGTTTTGTCTCATACAGCAATAGATATGATGTAATGGTAAATTACGGTGATTCATTGTATTTTTGAGCAATTTGCATCCGGGGTGCAGTCCCTTCCAACTGTTGCATATTAAACTTTTGAACTTGAAATAAGCATATTTTACTTTTTTAATTTCTTGATAAATGATTATTTATTTATTTGTATATTTGACATTGGGTTTAAATGATTTTAAATGTGGTTTTCATTTTGACAAGATTTTCATCTTTTTTTTTTTGCTTTTTTCTTTTCCTCTATGATTCTAGAAATGTACAGATGGTCTAGTCAAAGTTCTAAAGGATGTTGCAAACAGTTCATATGCACCTGAGTATGATGTTTCGGGGATTACAGATCCTTTTCTTCATATTAGATTGCTCAAGCTTTTGCGTGTGTTGGGCCAGGGAGATGCTGATGCCAGTGATAGTATGAATGATATTCTTGCTCAGGTAAGTTACTGTTTTCATGTTTATTAACTTGCTTTCCCTGATATGACAAGTAATTTTTTTTTTTGTAATTTGTTTTCTTGTGTTTTGCGATATCTGATGTTTGTTTCAATTTTTCTAACTATATTATTAGAGGTCATTAACTTTTTAGATACTAATTATTGGTACACTTTCTGTAGTCAACTCTTTGTATTTCAGATGGAATGAATTTCTTCTGTTTTTCTCTATTGAGCAGACAACTCTTAGATACGAAATGATCTGCTATTTTATTTATTTGTTTGGATTCTCTAGAAGTATGTTTTCATAACTATCAAAAGATAGTGCTACTTAGCATTTTCCTTGCTTATATGAATTCAAGAGATACTGCAAGAATGCAAGGGACAAGAGTAATGCAATCTATCCTTGAAAAGATATAGCATGAGATGAAGAGCATGTTTGGAAAAGCCAAACATGGTTTTTATCCACGTATTTTGTAGGACGCAATTTATTAACCATTTATTATCCACGTATTCCGTTAGACCCACAACTCATAATCACTACCATACAAGCATGAAGCTAAATTGTAATATATGGCAAAATGATTTTTCCCGAACTTGGTCTTAAAGAAACACCTTGTATATCATTAATCTCTTATCTAGAACTGTCTTTTAAGGATGATTGGTGTCCATAACAGTATAAATTCAGTGATCAACATTCAAATTCTGTGTTCATTTTGGTAGAAGGGATACAATATTTATTGCAACCATTACTTAGCCCTGTTTGACACCCATTCTCATTTTTTCTCTTTCTTCATTCCAACCATACATTCTCTAAATAAAATAATATTACATACAAATCTAAAATTTTTCAGTACTTTTCAACCACACATTCTTCCATCAATTACTATTCCATAATTCATTTTTTCCTCAAAATGGGTGTCAAACACAAGTTTAGCCCCTGTTTGGGCTCCATTTTGTTAAGAAAATGTATTTTGGAATAGTGACTTTTGGAGAATGTGTGATTAAAAAAGAAGTAAGTTTTCGATTTACATGTAAAATTATTTTAGGGAGAATGTGTGGTTGAAAATGAGTTTTGAAAAAATTGGGGCCAAACATAGGCTTATTCTGTTTGCCTGATATGCTATATGCATTTTGCAGGTGGCAACCAAAACTGAGTCAAATAAAAATGCAGGGAATGCAATTCTATATGAATGTGTTTCAACAATAATGATCATTGAGGATAGTGGTGGTTTAAGAGTGCTAGCTGTCAATATTTTGGGAAGATTTTTGTCCAGCCGTGATAACAATATCAGGTCACCTTCCTTGATTTGGCTCGAACACTTTCCTCATTTGCAAGGGCATGTCTTTGTTTTGTTACATAACTAATCCTTGCAGTTCTTTCTCACAGTTTACTGTAGTTTTTGGAGTCATTACATTTGAATCATTAAAAATTCTGTAGCTACTATCTCATACCTTTTCATCTTTTCGAGTTGAAATCTATTTTGCCAGATATGTTGCATTGAACATGCTGATGAAGGCTATTTCTCTAGACCGTCAAGCAGTGCAGAGGCATCTCACTACTATATTGGAATGTGTAAAGGTACCATGTGACAATATCTATTTCTTCCATCCCTGATATTAGAAGGATTCTTATTATTTATTTAGTGTATCTTGTTTAATAGTCCATTTTTGGCATCTTTGAAGTCATAGATTTCTGAGCTGTTAGAATTTTGTGGCCTTTGATTGAGGAAAAAATAAGGGTGTTGGGTAAATTAGATCTTGGTTGAAAATTGCTTTTAAAATTATTGTTATCATAAACTTTTAAGCTAGTGATCAAGAGTAATTTTTGTCCCTTTGACACAATAGGGCTTCACTGGTGTTTTGTGCTCCTATATATAGTTCATTGTCAGATTGTTCTGGCAACTTAATGGGGTTCATGGTTCCTAACCTTTTCTGCAATAGTCTTGAATTTGGGCCTTCTAGATCTAAGTTCTCTGAAGAAAAATGCGTAATAATTTAGTTGTGCTGTAGTTTAAATGCTTGCAGTTGCATATAAATAAAGACTAGCAGTTTTTTTGTATAGCTTTTCTCTAAATTTGACAATGATCAGCGTTACAACTCAACTCCGTAACCAAGGACCATTCTTGTTGAATCAATAAAATGCTATTTAAGTTTCTCTTCGTTTAGGTAAGATGTTTGATTGGAATGCCATTTTTGTGTGTTTCTCTCACCCTTTTCCCCCTGTGGTAAGATCTTTATATAAGTGAATAAATCTGCAGTTCCATCTTAGAAATTCATGACTGTTATTTTGTTGTTAGGATTCAGATACTTCTATCCGGAAACGGGCCCTTGAGCTTGTATATCTTCTGGTGAATGAAAGCAATGTGAAGTCTTTGACAAAGGAGCTAATTGACTATCTTGAGATAAGTGACCCAGAGTTTAAGGGAGATCTCACTGCCAAAATTTGCTCCATTGTGGAGAAGTAAGTTGACTGTGTATTATATGTATCCAGAATCTCTCGATTCCTTGGTCCAAGAATTGCAGGGTAGTATTGATTGTAGTATGCAGTGTGTGGCACTTATAATACTCGACCGAATTCATCCTAAATGTTCCATATGGTTTGATCACCCTTTCCTTTCATCTTTTTCTTTATCTCTTGCTTGCATGCCCCTCATATCAGTGATTAAATCCTCTGAGTGCAATATGATAAGTTGAGAATGACAAAATCTTTATCAAACTATAATTACTATGTATCTTCCAATTTATTTTGAGATTTACAGCCCGTCCTCTGTTTTGTGATGCAGATTTTCTCCTGAGAAAATATGGTACATTGATCAGATGCTTAAAGTTCTGCCCAAGGTATACACCATGTTTTTTGAGTTTCAAACGTATTGTTCGTCGCTATAATTTTGAGACATCTCTTGATAAATGTTCAGATCATTTTTAAATGCCAAAGACATTAATCATTTTTGTCACATGAACACAGTATCTAACTTGTTTAATCAATCTGCTTTTGGAAAGGAACAACAGTTGGATTTATCATTTTTTGTGTCAGGGTGGTTTTTATCGAGACAACTTTGCCTCTTAAATTAGTGATTTATAAAGAACATGAGTGCTTTTATGGGGGAGTTGGAAATGTGAGTGCAGTACGTCAGTAAGTCTAAAACTTCATAACTGGAGGGAAGATTATTTTAAATATCTTAAAGCCAATGAGATGATCATGTATCATGATGTAAAGGAGGATATTTATTTCTATAACATTATTGCTACAACGTATGCCTAATTGCACGCATTCTGTGTGAGAATCTATCATTCATTATCAGATGGTTAACCATACCAAATTCTATAAGAGGATGTTGAATCTTTCTGACGGTTATGCACATTTATTATTTCAGATTAATGATTCAAAATCTTTGTTTGACTTCAGTATATGCCGGCACATGTTATAAATGCTGTTTTCCTATCGTTCTTTATATATTCTTCTGGACTAGTTTTGGTACAAATGGCTTGTTTACTCCCACTTTCAATTGTTCACCACTAAGACTCTTGAGTATCTGTATGTTTTCAATCAACTATATATATTGCACTCATTTATTTTCTCAGTCAGGATCTGTAGATGTTTGTTAAATGTCGTATGCAAGTTGAGCTTGACCAGACTCACGTCGCAATCGATCTTTTCTCTTTCTCTTGGAGAGAATTGATTTTCTACTACATGTTGCAGGCTGGAAATTATGTGAAGGATGAAGTCTGGCATGCCCTCATCGTCGTGATTACCAATGCTTCAGACCTCCATGGATATACTGTCCGGTCTCTGTATAGAGAGCTACAAACAGCAGGTGAACAGGTACCATGTAGCTACACTATTATCCTAAATTGACAGCCAGCCTTCGGTCAGCTAAAGTTGTCTGATTTTGATTGGTATTCTTGCCTTCATTAACCACATCTTGAAATTCTGTTGTTTCCTCCAGGAAACTCTTGTTAGAGTTTCTGTTTGGTGCATTGGAGAATATGGTGAGATGCTGGTTGGTAACGTTGGAATGCTCAATCAAGAGGATCCAATAACTGTGAGTTCATGCCTCTTAAAGTTCATATCTGTTTAACTTGTAGTTAAATTTCCATAAGATATTCGTATGACTTGGATACATCAGTGCAGTCATGGAGTTTTTATTATTTTGTTAATGTAATAAAAATGAAGAAGTTGGTTCTCTGATGAGTTATTACAAATTACGATTTACTTCTCTCCAGTAGTGACATTAGTTATTGTGAAACAACCAACTTTCTTGCGCTACAGAACCAATATAGAGCGTTAACTGCACAAGAGAATAACCTTTGACGTGCCAAGTCAAAATCTGAGGTTCTCTCTCCCTCTCTGCTTCTTCCCCCGTCTATTTCCTTTTCTTCAATTTCTTTCATCTAGCATGCCCACAGTGGTGCAATGCTGTACTCATTTAGTGAAAAAAAAGTAGTTATGCACTAGCACAAGTCAAAGCCTGACATGTCTTTTAACGCATCTAGTTACCTATCTTCCACACGCCCCCTCTTGAGCTTGTCTTTAAGAGTTAATATTGTTCCTTACTTTTTAGTGCCGCTACTACATTCTGTTTGACTCGCGCTTTAAGCAGTTTGTCTCCTTTGAGTTGGACCAGTGGAAGATCAGAAATCAATAATCTGAATTTAGCTGTTTTCTCACTCTATGGCAGGATGCTTGTGGTATCTAGTTGCTAATAATGACATGGACCTTGGTCTTTCCTTGTGCTCTCTGCTACACACTTATAAATTATTATAGGTTGTGAATGAGGACATCTAATGAGTATATGACCATGTCGTTGGGCAGATTGATAATCTACCTTACAAGTGATGAATTATCACATAGGGTATGTTTGATGGATATTATTGAGAAAAGAATGTATTCTAAATAGTGATATGATGGGAAATACGTGGTTAAAAAATAAGGAAAAATTATTGATATGATGGAAAATATTATTTTATTGAAGAATGTGGTTGAAAATGAGTTTTGAAAGAATGTGTGTCAAACATGGGCATAACTCCATAAGCATAATAAGTAATAACTAAGTTGCCAAGCAATAGCTGAATGATTGAGAGTAACAGTCAAATATCAACATCATGGTTGTCGTCGTTGTCATCACTCCCCACCCCCACCATGAATCTCTTGATCTTTTTGTGCTTCATTTTCGTGATAATCTTGATGAATATGTTGTCTGGAGCAGGTAACTGAGTCTGATGCTGTGGATGTTGTAGAAACTGTCATTAGACGCCATTCTTCAGATCTAACTACTCGGGCAATGTGTCTGATTTCTTTGTTAAAGCTGTCAAATCGTTTCCCTTCCTGTTCGCAGTATGTTTTCATTGATTTTCTTTTCTTGCAAGTTGCAAATGTTGATAAACTTTATTACGTGGAGCATATGGTTGTGCATTTGTGCAGTGGGCAATTACAAGCTTTATTTATGTCTCTGACATACCTCACATATGCTTTGCATCTTTGAAAATACTTCTTTCCTATACTGCATGTTTATTTTGCTTATAGCACCTAATTTCTTTTCAGCTTGGTGATATTATGTCATTGAGGTCTTCAAGAAAGCATTTTCACTCTCTACTTTTTAATTGTCTCAAACAGATTCTAGCCATCACTTCATTCAGATTATTGTGCAACTTATTGTAATCCAATTTTTCTAATCTTAGCATCTATATGGTTCCAGTTCTAGTTTTTACTCTGAAAAGTTGTATCCCTGGATTCTTGAACAGCTACTAGCCATCACTAGCCTCAGGATTGTTCTTCAACTTATTTTAGACCATTTTCTAATATTAGCATCTATAGGGTTCTAGTTCTAGTTTTTGCGATGATAACTTATATTACTGGATTCTTGATTCTCTTTTCTGAGGTTGTTTCAGCTTATCGTTGGAATAATGAGATTAAACCATCACGTTCTACTTCCTGTTCTGAACCATTGTACCGCATTAAGTGAATTACAGAGTTCGTTTATGATTGACTATTTTATTGTCTGTAATCCTCTAATAAATTTGCTAAACTTCCACTTGTCACAGAGTTTCCATTTTATCTGAGTGACTCTGTTTCTCTTGACAAATTAGTGCCTCTCTATCCTTTCTAATATGTCAAATTCTGCACTTCTCCATAAGAAAGTCAGCTCCTCTTCCTGTTGTGTTTGATCCTGTTCCTATTGTCTCATGGTAGAGAGTATATATATTTTTATTTTTTTATTTTTCGGGGCCTGCATACATAATGTTATGTTGGAGTTCTTTATTTACTATTTGTTTAAATTGGAAGTTGATTTACCTATATCAACCTTCGGTTAATGTAATGCTTATCACTGCCAAGACCTGCAATCAAACCTTTTTTATTTTATTTCCATTACCTGACAACATGGTTGAATGTTTTCTTTACTTGAATTGTTCAAGTGAATCAGGTACAATTTAATATCAAACTTATTGCAGGAGGATAAATGATATTGTCATTCATTATAAAGGAAGCCTTGTACTTGAACTGCAACAGAGAGCCATTGAATTTAATTCTATTATCGAGAAGCATCAGAATATTAGGTATGAAAAAGGAGAAATGCACTAATCTTTTTAATTGCGCAGTTATTTATATAGGTTAAAAAGGCTGCTGGATTGCATTTTTTCAGGTCAGCATTGGTTGAAAGAATGCCGGTCCTTGACGAGGCAACCTATAGAGGAAGGAGGGAAGGTTCTGTGGCAGCAGCTGTTTCTACTTCCCAAGGAGCTCCACTAAATTTTCCAAATGGAGTTGCTAAACCCACTTCAATTCCACTTGTTGATTTGCTTGATTTTAGTTCAGACGATGTTCCGGCACCTAGCTCGTCTGGTGGAGATTTTCTTCAGGATCTTCTTGGCGTTGATCTATCGCCAGCTTCTTCACAACCAGGTTGATTTTGTTTATGCAAAGATCTGAAATTATCTCATGTCTTCAGTTGTTAAAGACAGTTGATCACTGAAATTGTAGAGTTTGCATTGGTCACCGAATCCTTTTCAGTGTTTCGAAATTTTTTGTTTTGTTTCAGTTTAGGAACTCCATTTACCTCCATTTTTAAAAAGTAATAAATTGACTTGTACAACAGAAATGATGATGTGGCCTTAAGGGTCCGTTAACGGATTGGTTTTGATCCAGATTGCCAAAAATGCTTAGTCCCTGTTTGACACACATTCTTTCAAAATACGCTATTTCATAACTCATTTTCAACCACACATTCTTACATCAATAACTTTTCCTTACTTTTTAACCGCATATTTTCCATCATATCACTGTTTAAAGTACATTCTTTCTTCAATAATATCCATCAAACACACCCTCAGTCTTCTTAGAAGTTGTGCTTCTTAAATTCATTGGTTTTTAGAAGAATAAATGTATTTTCAATTTTGACAACAAAAGTTAATGCTTTAATGGGTTTTTAAAGCTATTACCAAAGTGAAACAACACTAGGAATTTAGTGACTAACAATGTTTTTAACCTGTTTATATTATATCAATGCGTCTCTGAAATAAAGGCTGCAAATGATTCTGATCTCTTGTACTTTTATTATTTATCGTTGATGATCCGTTTGAACAATTTATGCATAACTAAGAAGTGACATTCATATGTACAGAACTTGTTTAATTCTCTCTTAGGACATGCATCTTTGGTTGGATTGTTCTATGGTAGAGAGTTTGTCCCTTGGATAGAAGAAAAACATTTAAAATCTTACTGTATACAACATGCATATTTAAGCATTCTGTTTTCCTGTATAATATATCTCAGGAGGGAATCAGGCTCAAAAGAGCGGTACTGATGTGTTACTTGATCTTTTATCAATTGGAACACCTCCCGCTCAAAGTAGCCTTTCCATGGTTGACATGTTATCATCTGTTCAAGATGACAAAAGTCCAGTGGATAAATTATACAAACTGGGTTCCGCTTCTTTGCCTCCTGCACAAGCCTCTCCTGCCGTTGGAAATTCTCCTACGATGGATTTGTTGAATGGTTTTGGACCCATCTCATCGGCGCCTGGTATGTGTCATCAGTCTGTGTACGTAGTCGGCATCATTATTTTCTCTCTAAAGTACACGTACCCTTGCTTTCAATTGCAGAAAACAATGGCTCAACCTATCCATCACTCATAGCATTTGAAAGCAGCTCCTTAAGAGTGACCTTCAACTTCTCAAAGCAGCCTGGAAACCCGCAGACGACACTTGTTGAGGCTCAATTTGAGAACAAGTCACCTAATGCGTACTCGAATTTTATTTTCCAGGCAGCTGTCCCAAAGGTAGTATCTGTAGTTTTTGTTTCATTTTGATGTTTGTGGAGGTGACAGTTACAACAAAAACGTGATATCTTGTCCCCAATTCACGTTTCTTTTCATTGTTTTTTGTTCGTTCTTATGTAAACATTACTCAACATGTAAAATAAATTCTTGTTGTTCTGTCCGTTCCTAATTTAATTGAGAACTATGACTAGTTATTATCATTGTGTAGCCTGCGAAGCTTTGGCCTGTCATGTCTCTTCTTGTTTGAATTTTTTTCAGTAACTATTGCATCAACCCTAGATTTCGAACTTTGGGAAGTTCCACAGAAATTTATACATACTATTTAAATGTCGGAAAGTACTTAAATATTTCCCCATTTTCTGTCCTTGTTTTTGCAATAATGGTTCATTTTGGTTCCCAATGTGTCAGCATGAATTGCCAAACAATGGACCAAGTATTTCTTTTACACCTTCTTTCCCGCGCATTTAAGATTATTTTGTTCTTTCAATCCACAGTTTCTTCAACTGCACTTGGATCCAGCTAGTAGTAATACTCTTCCTGCAAGTGGTAACGGATCAATCACACAGAAGCTTCAACTTACAAACAGCCAGCATGGGAAGGTGTGTGGATTGTTCTTGCAATTCATTTCACTTGATTTCATGTGTTGATTATATAATCTTTTGTTGTTCTTGAAGTAAACTATATAGATTATGCTACAGATAAGCCAAACACTTTTTGTGCCACCATTTCCCTGGAATATCATTTAAATGTTCTGTGGAATAGGTTTGTGAGAAAAGAAAAAACAATGTAACTGTGCGAACTGTTGAACTTGTTCTTACTCTATTAGCATGTTAGGCTAAACTTGTAACTTTTTGTTTCCATCATGCTTGTATGTGTTAATTTTTTCTCAAAAGTAAAAAAGTTACTTATTTTTAAAGTAACTCTTCCCTTACTGTCAAAGAAAGTAACTTGTTTTCAACTTTGACTGGTAAAGAATATTTATTTTGTAGCTTATTTACTTATAAACGAACTTTTTAAGCTTAGCCAAACATGCTCTCACAGATAAAACATGTGCTTCAATTGTTTTTCCTAATCAGAAGTATATATTATGTAAAGGCACAAATTAGTACTTGCAGCCTATGCTTAATCTGTTTACCTGATTTTTGGCTAGTTAAAGACTAAACATTAACTTCTCTACTTTCAGAAATCCCTTGTAATGCGCATACGGATAGGTTATAAAATAAATGACAAAGATGTTCTTGAAGAAGGGCAAGTCAGTAACTTCCCCCGTGATTTGTGAGATCGAAGGGTTCCTTAAAATGTATGATCTCTTTTTCCTTTTTTCACAAAGGAGAAGCATTTGCTGGCTGTCTGTAGTTTCAGGTGAAATTTCATTTTATTGTCTCGTCAACTTGTGGCAGTTGGTGCTTCGAGCGGCAGCAGTATAACTCAGGATTACCCCTTTGTCGGTTTTCTCCCTTGCAAGGGTGGTTGAATGTACATTTTGATGTGAGATTCATGAAAGTGATGGTGGAATGAAATTTTGCCTTTGAAGCACATACATAGAATGAATTGGTGTGTCAAATTTTCCACTGTCGAGAACATTTTGGTTTTTGATATTTTAAGCTTCATTGGTTCTAGAATTTGGTGTATTTGTTAAACACATGTTTAGTAAGGTGCGTTATACAGTACTGGATAATATAAAATAAGAAGTTAAAATGTTATAATTTATACTGTTGTATTGGACAGTATTTTATGCATATCAAGTCAACTTGTTAGCTTAATTTCTAAAATCAATTATATTAGCTTGCTACTTTTTGTTGATTTTTCTACTCTGGTGAGGTCCACTGGATCTATTCTTTAAGGAATGTACTGACCACTATAAAATTTTGAAAAATTGGCATGTGTGGTGAGGTCCCAACTGGATGGAGGACCTAGAACATTTTTGGCAAAGATGAAATTATATAATTTAAGTGGGTCTCCCTCTCTATCTATCTCTCTCTTACACACACACACCCCCACACCCTGCACATACTTCATCCGTCCCATTTATATAGGTCGATTGTTCTTATTTTTTTTTAGAAAAGTTTTTGGCAAAAATTGCTTAATTCGTCTGAAAAACAAAATCAGTCAATATATAAAGGGGATGCGAGAGTATATTTTGTAGGAGTTATAATTTATTTTATACTTATTATTGTAATATTCATCGTTTATAAGCATTACCAAACAAACACGGGCATGTTTGGTATGTTAGATCATAAGATTGGATAGGACAGAGCAATTTACACGAGTTCGATTTTCTATGGATGGTAACGAGGTGTGGGCCGTGTGGCGAGGTTGGGACGGTTATTATCATCTCGGTTATTATCAACTCACTCATTAATGTTTCGCTTAATTGATTAATTTGAGAAACAAAACATAAAAATAAAAGATCCGGTGAGGGTTCGAAAAATTTGGATGGGGGCCATGTTCCTCACTCCCAGCTCGTTTAACATTCGGGAGGGGGAGAAACACGTTTAACATTGGGGAGGGGGAGAAGCAGGGGCATGGGTGGCGATGGGAAATTTTGCCTCCTAGGGATTTTCTCCCGTTGAAACTATGCTAATAATGTAAGAGTGTGTTTGATGGACTTTATTTTTAATGAAAAATATCATTTTTCCATCCAAATTTATATTTTTGGGGTGTTTGATTGACAAGTTTTTCATGGAAAATGTTTTCCAACTTTTGGTAATGTGATCATATTTTTCTCAAAAACAAGAAAAACATTTTCTTTAGAGGGATGATTTTTATTTTCCAGATAATTCATTTTCTCTCACTTACTTTCTCTTATCTACACACCAATAAAAAATAGACTCGCAATCAAATGCATTCTAAGTGATTTCACGTGCATAACAAGACATTAAAAAAATACAAAAAACCTTAACACAGATTTGTATTCTTCTGCCTAGATCATAGTTTAAAAGCTTTGAATTCAAGTTGTCACTCAATTATATGGATGAATTGAAGACTGATGAAACAATTGTTCACCCCACCCCCAAGATCTAAATGAACAGTTGGAACAAATTTTCTTTTGTCAGTTTACCGTCTGTCCCATTTTTGGCAACATGTGACGTGCATAAACTTGTCACTTCCAAGTAATTTTTACACCTTGAAATGCTTAATATTCGTCCAAAAATACCCACAAAGTTGTATATTGATTAGACATGAGATAATATATAAACAAGGACTTTAAATACTTTACTTAATAAATGAATTTTTGCGATGAAACTCGTAACAAATGATATTTTTACACGAACGTTACGTCTAGATCTTATAGTACTCTCGTTAGAGGTCCCACCAACTATTCTTTTGTACGATATCGTTGAAAAATGAACTGGCGTGTGCATGAATTATGGCTAAAACATGTTGAACCGTTAGGATCTAGACAACTCGACTCGTTTTTGCTCGATTGCCCATGCCTCATGACATGAAATTTACACAAATTTCCCACCAAATTGCTTTCAATTAATGCTGCAGCAGAGTATATTTGGATGGGACATGATAGTGTAGAGAGAAACACTTCATGGTCCCATGCCCACTATGCACTAACTCATAAGTCAACTTCTCAAATCAAAATTTCTCATCATGGCAAGAGTGCCATCCTCTTTAACTTTTCACTCATCCCCACCATTCTCATTTTCATCTCACAATGGGGCCCTCAAGCATGCCACCCAACGGACATCCATTCATTAGTCAAACTATTTGTACAAATTATCTGTACAAGTAGAATAATTCTATATTCGTCCCCATGCACTACATATGAGTGCGATTTTTACTGGTTAGTACAAGTCACCGGGACCCTTTTGTCCCGAGCTTTGATTGGATAAAATTGCCCGCATTATGAACTATACCTTAACGAGCCTCACGACGAGACAAACATTTCCCATGCTACAGTTCCTCCAATATGTTACTGGGTTGGTTAGGAAAACATCCAAGCGATTTTTAGTTCAGAAGTTCTCATGCTTCGTGACATGGTAGAGAAGACACCTCTTAACACACTAAAACATTAAAAAACACCTCCGTGGCACTAAATTGGTGTAACTTTCACATCAAATTAGTGTAATTTTCGCACCATTTTGCAAAGTTATCTGCAACCTATTGCACCAATTATTTCATCAAATGAATAGTGTTCCGTGTATTTTCTATTTTTTAATTCCCAATAATTAATTTTTTTTAAAATTATTTAATCACAAATTGTAATACTACTAAAATAATTAAATTAAAAAGTAAAATNACAAATTGTAATACTACTAAAATAATTAAATTAAAAAGTAAAATTTAATTAAAAAAGTTCACAAAAGAAACATAATATCGTCATTTAATTATTAAATTTGTAACGAGTATTTTTATTTTAATATATTTAACAATTATTATTTGTTACTTGATAATATTTTATTATAAATATTAATAAATTAAAATTAAATTCTTAAATAATAAAATAATATAACAAGAATTAAAATTTGTTGTGGTATAAAATGAAGGCAAAAGGAGAATATGAAAAACTGTAAAAGTTATAGCAGATAAAAGGAGTTTCACTTGCACAAATTTGATTATGGTTGGAGGGGATCTTTTTTGCACCAATTTGGTCCAAAAGCTCATCCTAATACAGAAAATCTCAATTCCCAAGATTGATTTGGGAAAATCTGAGAACTGAAATTTGCTGTATTTGGTTTGAACTGTTGGACTTAAAAGCATTTTATTTCACTATTTTGTGGGCTTGAGTGAGCAGAGTTTTGACAAATATTACACTTGTATATATTGTCTTCTGCCACAAAGTGTGAAGAGAAAAGAAGAATAATTCACTGTAAATTGCATAAAAATAATACAAGAATACGGCCAACGATGATATAATATAATAGTGACAAATCACGTAAATTAAAAAAAATTCCTTATTTTTTAATAATATTTCCTTAAAAATCACATTCAAAAGTCAAAATATTGTTTTCGCCAAATAACGACCATCAAACAAGGGCTAAATTTTATTTCTCGACTTTGTTCGCTTCATTGCTATTTCCGCCAAAAGATCCAAAAAACAAGCATCAATAGAAAAAGAGGAAAAAG